GTGTAGGCTCAAAATCTGCCAGTTTTTTAGCCCCTAGTTTTTTGTCTTGTTAAGGTGTTTCCTAATCCAACAGCTCCTCATGTGATATCTCTGGATGCCAGAGCTTCGCCCCAGTAGGGAATCTACGAACCTTTTCATATTGCGGGCTGTGCACTCAGGTTTCTTGAGATTTCTTAGATTATAGAGAATGTTTTGATTTCAAGGTATGACAAAACTCAAACGTTGCCCAACAAGCAGACGATGGTCCATTTGTTTGAATGGAAATGGCCAGATATAGCTGCGGAGTGTGAGAATTTCCTCCAACATTATGGATACGGAGCTGTTCAGGTACCTAACTGAGTTAATATAAAAGTATCAGAGAGCACAAAAAAATCTATAAGAGAGTTATTAGTACATGTTTGTCCTCGTAATAATAATCTGGATTTCATAGAATACTCGTAGAAAAAATTTCCCAAAAATTATACCTACCTGGAGCTGTAGAATTGAAGTCAATAGAATTCATATTTCCTTATATGTTCACAGACTTCAATCACACTTCTTTTGCATCTGAACTTTTTGAGGAGTTTTCTTTAAAAAATACAAAAATATTTTGTTACATGCCTCTCAACCTGAATCATGAGGATAGGTAGGTCAACGATACATAACTGCTTATCGATCCAGTGCCTAAGTTGCTCATATCGGTCTACTTTTTACATCAACAATCCCATTTTCCAGATATCTCCTCCCAATGATCACATTCTTCTGTCTCAGGACAATGACATGCCATGGTGGGTAAGGTAAGTACAACTAGTTTCACTAAAAGCTCATTTAATGACTTTTTTACCGGCACGGGATCGTTTTTGGCTGCCCATTACCGTCGCAAGCAAAAAGCTGCCAGTCCGAAAGAATAGAGACATGAAATTGATGAGCCGTTCGAACTGGGAATTTTGCGGTTTTCCCCTTTCACTCATGAAACTTAATGTATTCACGTGTCTGGTCCAATGGCACTTCCTGAACTTACAAAATTATTTGTAGCCTTTTTCCCGACTTTGACCCTACCATTGCACAGTTTGGAAAAGACGATGTAATTTTTCACGCAAACTGAAGATACAGTTCTATATAACAATACTTATAAAAGTCCGGTGCAGCTGTCAAGATTATTCGGGGACTTTCCGTTTTCCTTTGGGGACAATATACGAGCCTTCATAATCGATACTACATAAGCAATTAGTATAAATAATTCTTGGTTCCGAGAGAATAATTTTTGAATTTGTGTAATTACCTCCTTGCGCCCTTGTTCGGTCGATGGCTGCTTGTCATCTCATTGGCCTTGCCTTGTTCATGCTGTAGCACTCGATTTTCACTACTCCATTTTGAAATTATGAATGCTCTCGAGCAAATACAGATTTTCAGATACCAACCAGTAAGTTATAAGCTTGCCTCACGAAGTGGGAATGAAGCTCAATTCAAAGACATGGTAGAGCGGTGCAACAAGGTTGGAGTAAGGTGAGCACTTTGATCTTTTCGAAGCACGACCTAGAAACACTAGTTTACACACGACCTATCGAGCGTCTGCAGAAAGCAACCGTCTGTAGGAGTGATGTGAACTGATCACTTTTTGCGGACCCTCCATTAGCTCATCGAAGTTTAATTGTACAGCATATTGCTATGCCACTGGCATGGACACCACGACATCCTACGGTATCCCACGGAATACGATCTCTTGTGATAGCATTACCACTTCCAAAAAACATCTGCCTGAGAACACTAACGATGGACTTCACACAGTCTGGTGAATACGATTGCCAATGCCTTTCCTAAAAGTGCCCGCCTTCCTCCACTCCCTCCCGTTCCACGTTCCAACATCTTCTTTCCTTTTCAAATTCTGCTTTCAACCTGATCCTTGTCGCTTTTCCTGTCTAAATGCAGTCTAAGTCGATAATAATCTCACCCTTTAGACAATCCCATTTCTGAGGTGAGCCCCGCTAAGCCCCGCTTTCGACTTCCTTCAGAATCGTAGCGGCGCTTTGGAAGCGAGTGCGCCCTATACAAGGGGTTGCGGTGACCACAATAAACAAAACAATGCATTCATCCTTCCAGACGAGTCCTTCACAAATTGGACGACTTACACGACTTGTTTGTCAGAGAAATGGAAGCATAGACTTGGGAAGTACCGACCCGAAGTTAGAACTTTACACTATAGGCGCGGGGTAGAGCGCGGCTTACCACTACATTACCTTCACAAAGCGGTCATTTTCTTCTCGCGAACATATGAGGCAGCTTTGAGATTACCGGTTGCTTTGGGCACCTAGAAAGTTTCGAAAAAAAACCAATCAGTCGGAGTGCTAGGGCAGTCGAGCGAAATCCACATCGAAACAATTTTTACAAAGTAACTGGTAAGTCACTAAAGGCTTTGCCCTTAATGCTCCCTTCAACCAAACTGGGATCTTGTAAATGAAAAAAGATTTTTTACTGTTCAGAATTATCGTCGACGTTGTGATGAACCACATGGTTGGAGTGGGCCAGAAATCTGGTGTCAATGGGCGCTGCTCCAGCGCTGGCAGCACATTTGACGGGACTGACGGTGTTGAGTCATTCCCTGATGTAAGCCCACAGTTGAATGCCTTTTTTTAATTTTTCCTAATCTTTTAATATTTGAGGTACCCTATACGAAATCTGACTTCAATGATTTCCGATGTCATGGCGACATTCAGAACAGCGATTATCAGAACAGTGCTGAACACGTGGGTGGTCGTTCCTTCTTCTCCACGTTTCGTTTCTTTCATTTTTCCAAACAAAAAGAAGTAGGTAAGAATCGCAAGCAGCCTTGCTCCCTTTTTTCGACGCCAAAAACGCCTACTAAGATGTCAAGAACGTATGATAGTTCGTAATACGCTTGACTATAAGTTTGTTTTAATTGAGAAGAGAATTCGAGTTCGTTTGGCACGACTTAGACATGCCCTGAGCTCGGAGATCGAATACGATCTAAAGTGTTTAGTTGATGCCTTTACCTCAAGACTGGAAACGACTAGGTTGGACTTTCTAGTGCTCCTTGTTCAGGTGAAAAACTGCCGTCTATCTGGATTGTTGGACC